TATACCGCCCTACTCCCAAAGGACTCAGGGCGGTGAACAGCCATAATAAATACAAATACATATAGGAAGTTAAAAACTATTAAGAAACAGATTAAGTAATTTAGGCTCAAAGATTAAAAAACATCCAAATTTATCTAAAGAGGTTTAAAACCCAATTTAAAAGCCAGTTTAAAAGCCAATTAAAAAGAGAGAGTTAGGCCAGACCAGCTTGTTGGAATAGAAATGTTTTCAGGGCACGGCGGAATATGCGTAAGTCTTGGATGTTTCGTAACTCCGGGGGAAGCCCATTCCAGATGGTAGGTGCCCCCACAGAAAAGGCTCTCCCCTGGGGGCCGTCAGTCGACATTGTTTGGCCGACGGCACCCTGAGGAGTCCCTCTCTATGGGAGCAAACTGGTCGGTGAGAGGCTATTGGTGGCAGGAGGCGGTCTCGTAAGTACCCTGGTCCTGAGCCATGGAGCGCTCTAAAGATAGTAACCAAAACCTTGAAGCGCACCCGGAAGACCACTGGGAGCCAGTGCAGCTCGCACAGGAGGGGGGTTACATGAGAGCGCCACATTGCTCCCATTACCACCCGCGCGGCCGCATTCTGGACCAGTTGGAGCCTTTGGGTGCTTCTCAAGGGGAGCCCCATGTAGAGAGCATTACAATAATCCAGGCGTGAGGTGACAAGGGCGTGAGTGACCGTGCGTAACGAGTCCCGATCCAGAAAGGGATGCAACTGGCGAATCAGGCGAACCTGATAAAAAGTCCTCCTGGCTACGGCCGTCATATGCTCTTCAAAAGACAGCCATGAGTCCAGGAGGATGCCCAAGTTGCGAACCCCATCTGTGGGGGCCAACGACTCGCCCCCAATAGTCAGAGATGGCGCCAACTGACAATATCGGGACGACGGAAACCACAGCCACTCGGTCTTGGATGGGTTGAGTCTGAGTTTGTTCCTCCCCATCCAGATCCGTACGGCCTCCAGGCACCGGGACATCACCTCAAGGGCATCATTGGGGTGGTCTGGGGTGGAGATGTACAGCTGGGTGTCATCAGCGTACTGATGGTACTTCACCCCAAAACCACGGATGATCTCACCCAGCGGCTTCACATAAATGTTGAATAGAAGGGGCGAGAGGACCGATCCTTGTGGCACCCCACATATAAGGGGCCTCGGGGTCGACCTCTGCCCCCCGTCAACACAGACTGCGACCAGTCAGAGAGAAAGGAGGAGAACCACTGTAGAACAGTGCCCCCCACCCCCAACCCTTCCAACCGGTGCAGCATGATATCATGATCGATGGTATCAAAAGCTGCTGAGAGGTCTAGTAGGACCAGGACAGAGGAGCAACCCCTGTCCCGAGCCCTCCAGAGATCATCAACCAATGCGACCAATGCTGTCTCTGTGCTGTACCCGGGCCTGAATCCCGACTGGAACGGATCTAGATAATTCGATTCATCCAGGTACTGAGGCAGTTGTCGTGCAACCACACTCTCAACAACCTTTGCAACAAAGCGAAGGTTGGAGACAGGACGATAATTTGCTAATACAGCTGGATCCAGGGAGGGCTTCTTGAGGAGGGGCCTCACCACCGCCTCTTTCAAGACGGTGGGAAAGACACCCTCACTCAAAGAAGCATTTATAATCTCCTGGAGCCAGCCTCGCGTCACCTCCCGGGAGGCCAGTACCAACCAGGATGGACACGGGTCCAATAAACATGTGGTCGCATTTAGTTTGTTCAGTATCCTGTCCAGGCTTTCAGGAGTCACAGGATCAAACTCTTCCCAAATAATATTCTCAGGACCTGCCCCTGTCATCTCCTCTGGATCAATCCAGTCAGAGTCTAGCTGTTCACGAATCTGAGCAATTTTGTCATACAGATATTGTACAAAATCCTCAGCTCTACCCTCCAAGGGGTCTTCCCGCATCTCTTGATGGAGCAGAGAGCGGGTCACCCTAAACAGGGCGGCTGGGCGATTATCTGATGACGCAATAAGAGTAGAAAAGTAGTTACTCTTCTCTACTCTTATCGCCACTAGGTAATTCTTAATATGAGATCTTACCAGTGTTCGGTCAGATTCAGAACGACTAGCCCTCCAACTGCTCTCTAGGCGTCTTTTCCGGCGCTTCATCTCCCTCAGCTCCTCAGTATACCAAGGAGCCAGGTGAGACCGGCGCCGGGTCAGAGGCCGCAAAGGCACGACTCGGTCTAAAGCATCAGCCGCCGCCCTATCCCAGGCGGCCACTAAGTCCTCAGCCGAGTCGTGTGCTAGAACCTCAGGAAATGGCCCAAGCTCCATCTGGAATCTCTCAGGATCCATCAGGCGCCTGGGGCGGAACCACCTGGTCGGTTCCGCCTCCCTGCAGCGGGGTGTGGCGGTTCGAAGGTCCAGGCGAAGGAGGGAGTGATCTGACCATGACAAGGGTTCAATCACTATATCCCCTATCTCGAGATCACTCAACCACTGTCCAGAGACAAAAACAAGGTCCAGTGTGTGTCCCCCCATGTGAGTAGAGCCATAAATTAACTGGGTCCGGTCCATAGCTGTCATGGAAGCCATGAACTCCCGAGCCACCTCAGATGTCTCGCCAACTGATGACAGGTTAAAATCCCCCATGACCATAAGCCTGGGGGTGTCAACAGCCACCGTGGCTATAACATCAAGCAGCTCAGGCAGGGCTGCTGCCACATGGCAGGGAGCCAGGTACGTGACTAGCAAGCCCAACTGCACCCTATGACCCCACTTCACAAGAAGGGACTCACATCCAGCCGTCTGAGGAACAGTGGCCTCCCTTGGTCCAAGACCCTCATTAATAACAACCGCCACCCCTCCGCCCCTCCCCTGAAACCTTGGCTGATGGAAAGCACGGAAACCTGGTGGGCACATATCAACAAGGGGGGCTCCCCCTTCCTGGCCCAACCAGGTCTCCGTAATACCTGCCAGGTCCGCACCCCCCTCCTGAATAAGATCACAAATGAGGGGGGCTTTATTTACCACGGACCTGGCGTTGCACAGCATCAGCCAAAGGCCTGGGGCCCGAGGTTCCGTACAACCTGGGGAACGAGAAGAGCTTTGTGGGTCGGAGCGCGCCACTGCTTGTAAATAGCGAGGACGCACTCCTGTAGGATGATGTGGCCCCCTGCTCCCGCCATATCTGCCCCTCCCACCTACAGTATCGATGTTATGGGCATCTGTATCATAAGATCTAATCATCTCCTTGACCCAGAGTTCACACCTCCCATGCCACGCCCTACGGCTGGCCCAGATACCAGATATATTTGCCATGCTGGTTGGTCATGAGCTTCACGGCTGATGTTAAGTTGTCCCAATTGGTCGGACAGCCCCTCAAACGTATGGCTGCACATCACCGTCTGGTACTGCCACTCTGTGGCTTCGTTCAGGTCAGTGGGGCCAGTCAATGTCCACTCTAGTATAGTTGCTTGAGATTCCTGGGAAGTGGTTAAAGAGCAGTTGATCAGCAGGTCGGGAAACACCACTTGCCCAAGCAGGTCCTTCTCCATCAGCTGGATCCCTCCTCCGGTTGTCCGTCGACTAGGGTCTTGGGACATGCACTCATCTGGCATGCGATGTCCTCTACCACAGCAGTCACTTGCAGGGTTTCCATAGGGATCGATAGCTTCTGGCAAGGCCCTCCACAAAGCTTTCACTCACGGGCTGGCTCCTTCTCCATTTGGTTCTCCTTCTCCAAAATGGTTTCTTCTCCATTTTCCCTGAGTCTCATCTGCTGCCTGGTTGAGTAGATCAGGGAAGCAGCTAGGTCTCAAGACTCTGGATAGCGATCCTCGTCAGGGGTTCATGGATTGTTTCTTTTTAAAGCAGATCCAGAATATTGTCAAGCCTCCAAGTAACATGCCCCCAATAAGAACAGTCCAAGGTAGCCATATTCCAACAAAGTCTTTTTACTAGGAACATATCAAATTGGCAAGGTCTCGGGGTAATTCTGGATCTGGCCAGCCTCCGGAATTACACCCAATATATATATTAAAAGTTAGAAGCATCCTCTCCAGAGTCACATTCTCCAATCAATTCATCGTCCATCAGTCCGGTGACTCCAAACTCCACCTTCCACCATCTGCAGCCACTTTCACTGTTCTCATGGGAAAGAATCAGTGGTGGGTTTCAAAATTTTTTACTACCGGTTCTGTGGGGTGTGGCTTGGTGGGTGTAACATGGCTTGGTGGGCGTGGCAGGGGAAGGATACTGTAAAATCTCCATTCCCTCCCCACTCCAGGAGAAGGTTACTGCAAAATCCCCATTTCCTCCTGATCAGCTGGGAGGCAGAGAATAGATGGGGGCAGGGCCAGTCAGAGGTGGTATTTACCAGTTCTACAAACTACTCAAAATTTCCACTACTGGTTCTCCAGAACTGGTCAGAATCTGCTGAAATCCACCTCTGGAAAGAATGCCACCTAGCCATAACAATCCCCTTATCTCTCCTACCCCCGTTCTTGCTACCAGATGTTGTGAGCTTGAAGCACTGTTAATCCCCATACAGCATATTGAAAGAAGTAGGAAAGAATATGCATAAGAAATAACTACAATTAAAAATGGCTACGCATATTTCAGCTTCAGGGTTGACAGCACCTACATACCACAAATGGTGTTTTTAAAATGTTTTAAATTATTTTAAAAGGGTTAGAGAAATGCCAAAAGAAGGGGTTGCAGGCTACATAAATTAGCTTTTTTAAAAAAATTAGCTCTTTGACCATCTTCAGAGCTGAAGAGTGTTTCCATGTTTCTAGGACAGAAATCTTATAGCCCCTACATTCCTAGTAACTATAGGATTCACAGGATTTGTCCCCTGAAGATCTGAAAGTGAACCTTCCCCCACCCACATGACTTCAGAAATTATTCTCCTCCCCTCCCCTCCCCTCCCCTCTTCTCTTCTTTATAGTAGGGTCCAGCTTCTCTATAGCACTTTCCTCCATTCATTCATTTAGCCACTTTTTGGAAGTTACTTCTTTCAGGAAGAATTATAACAGTTCAAGAGCAAAATATATTTTATTTGTGGTGCATGAAAACCACAGTCATTTTTAAAAACACAAAAACAGCCAAGGAAAAACAGGGTTTAAGAGAAGTAATTCCAGGAAGCCAAACTGAACAATGCATTGATTCTATTGCTGAGTACAATTAAAGTGCCAAGATAATTGGGACGTGTAGATCTCTCTTTAGTGAGTTCATCTCAGTATCTTGCAGGGGCTGGAGAAACTCTTCAGTGAGGAACTGCTGCCATGTCTACATCTGTTTTCTTAATTCAGAAAAAAGGACATACTAAAAGTGATAAGATGTACTGTATTTTTCGGACTATAAGACGCTCCTGACTATAAGACACACATTACCTTTAGAGGAGGAAAACAAGGGGGGAAAACATCTGCCTCTGCCTCCACTGCCCATTCACCGCCACTACTGCCCATTCACCGCAGCCTGTTCACCGTGGCCCTTCACCACCTATGTCTGCGAATGGGCAATGGCAATAGGCGGTGGTGATTCCCATCACCCAGAACAGCTGATGAAAATCAATACAACTTGAAGACACCAGTTTAGGAAAAACAATATCTGCAACTTGTATAAGAAAAATCTGTTTATGAAGAAGAGTTTCAAAAGAATAAAATTAAAATATGACATCATTTAAATCACTTACATTATTCCTTAAGTCATCTTGACCAGTCTATATTTTTATTTCTCATTAACAAATTTGCCATGTTTTATAAAACATAAATATATAAAGAAGAAGGGCTTTCTCCAACTAGTTGGTTCTTCAAGAAAGCTGATAATTGTAACTAAATTTATGTACTATATGGAAAGCCTCCAGAAATTCATTGAAGTCAATGCTACCGTCTTTATTAAAATCCATGGTGCGAGCTAAACTGTCAATGGATTCATCACTCACATCATTCTTCACATGTGCATTAAAGAGTTTCCATGTTTGGCGGAATTCATCAGCAGAAATAAGGCCTAAACAAAGGGGAAACTGGTGTTACAAAAAGCACTGCAAATTTGCATAAAGGATCTATATTCTCTATATGAGAATGGTATTAGAATTGGGGAGTCTGAAGAAAACAATGTAGAACTTGAAGCTACATCAGTTGCACATGTTACTGGTCTATGCCTGGTGTGATTTCAAAAGTTGGTTATAGACTTTAAAACTATATAAAGCATAGGACCTTAGCACTATAGCAATAGCACTTAAACTTATATACCGTTTCACAGTGCTTTACAGCCCTCCCTAAATGGTTTACAATGTCAGCATATTGCCCCTAACAATCTGGATCCTCATTTTACTGACATCGGAAGGATGAAGACTGAGTCAACCTTGAGACTTGAACTGCCGAACTGCTGGCAACCAGCAGTCAGCAGAAGTAGCCTGCAGTAATGCATGCTAATCACTGTACCACCATGGATCTTCCTACCTTCCTACCTACTGTATTTTTCGGAGTATAAGACACAGTTTTCCTAAACGAGGGTGGAAATGTTGGTGCGTCTTATACTCGGAATACAGCCATTTTTGGCCTCCTGAAGCCCCGTCCCGCTCGTCCCATTTTTGTGAAAAATGGGCCCGTTTTTCGCAAAAACAAGGTGCACAGAAGGTTTGGGAGGCCTGCAGAGTGCTCCTGGGGATTGGGAAGGGCAAAAACACCTGTTTTTGTGAATAATGGGCCCATTTTTCACAAAAACTGGGATGTTTTTGCCCTCATCGGCCCTCAGGAACACTCTGCAGGTCTCCCAAACCCTCTGTGCAGCCCATTTTTTGCAAAAATGGGCAAAAAATGGGCCATTTTTGCAAATAGGATGCGCAGAAGGTTTGGGAGGCCTGTAGAATGTTCCTGGGGGCCAATGAGGGCAAAAACACCCCCTTTTTGAAAAATGGGCCTGTTTTTGCGAAAAACTGGGCACACAGAGGGTTTGGGAGGCCTGCAGAGTGCTCCTGGTGTCCAAAAGCACTTTTTTTTCTTACTTACCTCTTCAAAATCTTGGTGCGTCTTATACACCGGTGCGTCTTATAGTCCGAAAAATACAGTAAATGCAGCTTAGCTTCATATGAATCTGTATAATCCATGTGAATGACTAGAAAGTCTTATTTCAGAAATAAAATATGTCATAACAGAAAAGCTGAGAACTAAATGAAAAAGAGGACTCAGAATTGGGATAATTGATACAGGTGGATTGATAACCAAATTAAAAATGGATGAAAATTAGTATAAAGTTTAAGACATATATATATAAATAAATAAATAAATAAATAAAGGGAACACAAGCAGAAGACATCCAAGATCTGAATGAATGAAATAGCCTTATTAAATAGTTTGTTCATTACATACAGTAGTTTTGTGTTCCCTTTAGTTGTTTGAGCAGTGTATAAACTACTGTATGTAAAGAACAAAGCCTTAAAGGCTATTTCATTCATTCAGATCTTGGATGTCTTCTGCTTGTGTTCCCTTTATTTTTTTGAGCAGTATATTTGGAGTTATAGAATATATAGGAAAAATTAATCTAACCTGTGGGAAAAGCAACACTGTCTGATCGTTTATGTATTGGAATTATGGAAAATGGAAAAACCACAATAAAATATTTTAAAAAAAACAAAAAAAAAAAAAAACAGAAAAGCTGAGGCCAAGGGGGAAGGTTGTATATGTAATTATAATATGGAATTCTTCACCCTAAAAAACATGGCTTGGTTTGGCTTTTGCAAATTATTTTTCTGTTATTTTTATTGGATTGTAAGAGATTATTGTTCTACTAAAAATTCTTACAGCTTTGGGAAGTAGCCAAGACAGAATGAGTACAGAAAATTGATGTGACTCTCAGAGCAAAGATTCCATAGCTGCTGTTCAGAGAAGATCCTGGCTGTAAAGAGCCAGTTATGGAACATCTGTGCAGAATAGACTCTACAACATACTAACATGCCCTCTATTGGCACTGTTTGGTTATTATTTTATTTTTAAAAATTCAGTGGAGTTTTTGAATACCTAATAAATTATTTTCTGAATGCTGTGCTAATCAGTAGCACAATAAACAAAATAGTCATCAATCAAGGAAATTGCTGTAAGTGCGAGATAGGGACATAAGACACGGGTTTTGTTTTGCATCAAGACTAAACACCTTTTTTTTTTTTGGCTTGTTTGAGCATCATGGTTCATACTGTTGCAATCAAATCACTTTGGGAATCCAACTTGCAAAGACGGAAAAGAAAAATGGAGAGATTTGGCAGGAAGATGTTAACAAGCTTTTGTCTAGAGTCTAGCATCACATGATCAAGAGATATTTACTCTTTTTAGGATAATTAAGTGACTAGAAAAACCAACTAAAATTTTTATTTATCATCTTGTCTCTTATTTTTAGTTATGTATTGTGATTTAACTTCACCCATTAGGTGGAAATAAACAATTGCTGCACATACCCCTCAGTTCAATATTTGACTGCTTTTAATTAAGAAAAGCCAACTTAAATTATTTTAAGATAACTTAATAAATACAAGCCCCTAATTCATCCTACTATGGTATCTGTAACTCTCTTCTGGATTTAGAAACACTACACACTTCATTAGTACATGAAGGCGGAGATGATGTAGTTGCCATTACTGAAACTTGGTGGGATGAAACTCATGACTGGAATGTACTGATGGAAGGATACAAACTATTCAAAAAGAGGAGGTGGAATTGCATTATATATATCAAAGATGACTACATCTAGGGGTGGGTTGCTGCCGGTTGTAACAACTGGTTTGCAAATGTGAGCGTGCATGCGTGTGACAATGAAAACCCGGTGATTAGGACGTGATAGTGCAAGGGCGGGCGGGCGGGGCTAGCCCTGGTCGGAACTACCAGTTCGCCTGAACCAGTCCGAACCATCAGCAGCCCACCACTGACTGCATCTCTGCAGAAATACACAAAACCAAGGATGAAAACCTCCTAGAATCCATATGGATCAATACAAAAGGGAAAAAATGACATTGCTATAGGCATAGACTACAGGCTACTCAACCAAGCAGAAGAAATAGATGAACTCTTTCCTAATTAATTAACAAATGTATGTAGGAAACATACCACAGTAGTAATGGGAGACTTTAACTACCCTGATATCAACTGGGAGACAAATTCTGCAGCAAGTGAGAGATTGAATAGATTCCTAATCAATTTAGCTGACAACTTTGTCACCCAAAAGGTAGAGGAGGGAATTAGAGGAAAAAGACAGTAGGGCCTAATTCCTACTAAAACAGAAGAAGTGATAGAGGAGTTGAAGTTGCCAGAACCTTGGGAAAGAGTGACCACGTCATACTGGAATTCAATATAATGCAAACACAAGCAATATAATACAATCCAACCAGTGTCCTAATCTTTAAAAGAGTTGATTTTAACAAACTCAGAGAGAGCCTAAGCAAAATTTAATGGATAAAAATCCTAAAGGGGAAAACAATTCAAGAAGTAGGTAAAACACTGAAAAATATGATCTTAAAAGTCCAGTCTAACACAATACCACTGAAAAGAAAAACAAGAAATCCAAGAAGAAATCAGCATGGTTGCACAAAGATCTCTCTGATAAACTGAAAGACAAAAAGGATAAGTACTAAATATGGAAAGAGGGACATATAACTAAGGCAGAATATCAGCAGATAGCCCGAATCTGCAAAGATGAAGTCAGGAAACCAAAGGCTCAAAATGAACAAATACTTGCGACTTCCGGTTTCCTTGTCTTCGGCGGCGGCGGTGCCTTTTGAAGCTCTGCCAGCCCCGCCGCTTGTAGAGCCGCTTCGCGACTAAGAAGCGGCTCGAAAATTTCAAAAATCTTTAGGATTTTTGAAAAGAGATCGCAGGGCACAGGTTGAGCACCTGCAACCCCCCCAGGGAATAGTTTCTGGGGAGGGAACAGGAGCGGCTCCCATTCAACCTGCTGGAACTCCGGGCGGTGTGGGACAAGTCTGCTTCTGCAGAACAAGCCGGCTACAGGAAACTTTAAATTGAAAGAAAAGGAACCAGCCTTAATAAGCAGCATACTGTTACTTGAACCCTGAAACTCGGAATCGCAAGTATTAGAGTTTTCTTGGCTTTCTAATTTGAGTGAAAAAATGCGGATGAGTGAAAGTGAACTGTAAAAACATGGCGCTTAGCCTCAGAGTTAACGAGCTGGCGAGTGTGGATTGCTGAACTCATCTTGCTTTGTTACAAAGTTTTTAAACTGCTACGAAGTTGCTTCGTTCGTAACAAGAGAAATAAGAGAGAAATTTCTCCTTTTTCAATACTGGACTTTGCTTTACTTTGGTTCTTATTTGATTAAATCTGGGGGGCTTTTTCAGAAGTCTTTGTGGAGGTGGGAGAGGAAGAAGAACTTCCCTTTTTAGTAAAACTAGCCTACGTGGCAGGATGGCCTCAAAGAAGCAGGAAGCGAAGGCAACAGGAGGTGGATCTCCCACACATAAAGCACAGCCTCCCCCAGTACAACAGATACAGACTCAGAAAAAAGATTTTGATGTGGGAGATTTAAAAGAATTTATTTCTAAAACTTTGGATGATAAATTTCAAAAATCTCAACAGGAGATAGATGATAAACTTCAAAAATCACATCAGGAATTTATGCAGGAAATTAATGAAGTTAAAGATATGGTGAAACAGAATCAAAACAAGGTGACCAAAAAAATATCAGAAGTGGCGTCTGGCCTGGCAGAATTTATTGTGAAAGTTGATTCTAAAGTTGAAGAACTTAAATCAGAAGTTAATGTTAAGATGAAAGACAATGATTATAAAATTGCTGATGTTGACAATAAAATGCAAAGAGTTGAAAATGAGATTGTGATGGTACAATTCAGGGCAATGGAGTTTGCCATACGGCTTCGAGGAATTCGAGAAGAGGAAAGACAGGATTTGAGACAGGTTTGTTCTGAGGCCCTGGCCAAGATTTTACAAGTTAATCCTGATGTGGTTTTTCACAAAATAGATAAAATTTACAGAGTGAATTCTTGG